GGGCGGTGGGCTGCCCCGCGCTGCAGGCGGCCTGGCAGCACGACGGGGGCCCCCGCGCGCTGCCGACGTCGCTGTCGCCGCTCTGTCTGGCCCGGCCGCCGGCGTCGCGTGGCGTGGCGTCGTGGCGTGGCGTTGCGCTGCGGCGGGCCGGCGCGGCCGAACGAACGTACAGCTGGGGCTCGGGGGCGGCCTCCCTTCCCCGCCAGCAGCAGTCCTGGGGGCGGCGGAGGAGCACGGCGGAGCCCCTCCTGGAGGTGGGGCTGGGGGTGAAGCTTGACGGTCGGTCAATGCCGGCGTGAGGGAGGGCGGACAAGAAGACGATGATGACTCTGAGCCATATGCGGCTGCCCTCCGTGGGTCAATTCAGTCTAGGGGCGACGGTGAGGTGCGACCACTTGGCACGGAGGTGCGACCACTTGGCTCGGAGGTGCGACCACTTGGCTCGGAGGTGCGACCACTTGGCTTGGGGGATGCGACCACTTGGCTTGGAGGTGCGACCAGCCTCGAGCTTTGCGACCAACTTGGAGTTGTGACGCCCCTACCTACAGTCGTCGACCCCCTGGAGGGTGCGCCCCTCCCCTGGAGGTTTCGGCGCCCAATGGCGCCCGATGGCGCCCCTCCCCTGGAGGCCCTCCGCCCTCCCTTGGCCGCTCCAAACAGTCCGTTTTGCAAGTCACGCGCCGCTCATTATCGGGTGTGCCGGTGATTTATGATTAGAGATGAGTGTGGCTGGCGTGCGGAGCCTGGGGTCAATCAAGGTTGAAATTAAACAAGTTTCGTCATAAAAAAATTGCTGGGGATTTTGTCCAAGTGAATGAACTTTTCTCCGTGTGTGTGTGTGTGTGTCTGTGTGTTTGGAAACAAAAGCTTTTCCCTGACAGAATGTGGGTTTTTTGTTGCCTGCACACGTGCTCGTGTGATCTCTCGCCGACTCGCGTTTCTCCAACTTTGCTCGACACCTGCGACACACCTGGACACAGGTAATTCACTATCGCTCCAAAATAGAGGCCACTTAGCGACCTATTTTGGTTTGGTGACATTTTAAATACGAGTCTGGAATCAAATTTTAAAGTCATTACGGCGTTAATAAAATGTTAAAAGAAGCTGAGGACGAGACATTTATGTGACATTTCACACGTAATTAAAGTCTTGGGAACGGCATCAGGTTCGTCTGGCGACCTTGTTTTGGAGTAATGGATTTACAGTGAAAGGTTCCCCTCCGGCAACGAGCGAGCAGAGCAGTACCGTAAACTTGACAGCATCAAGGTAGTTTTTTTTCTCTCTCTTTCCTCCTCTTCCCTGACATGCGCGGAATTTGCCTCTCCCGTTCCGTCTGTGCGCTTGGCGCGGGCGAGCGTTTCGAACTACCTGCGCGAGCCCAGAGGGCAAGTGGAGGAGAGGCCGGGGGAGAAGAATACCGTGTCTGCCTGTGTGTGTGTGGCATTATGAGGGGTGTGTCTCGTGCGCCGGGTTGGTGACCCACGCAGGTCTAAGGTCACGTCACGTCACGTGGCCCGCAGGGCAGGGCCTGCACGCCAGACCGGAACGGGACGGGACGGTGGGGCCCCCGGCCGGCTGTGGTGCGGCTCGGACCGGAACGGGACGGGGCCGCGAGCAGCAGCAGCAGCAGCAGCAGCCGTGGCTGCGGCGGCGGTGGGCCCCTCCCGGAGCTGGAGCTTCAGAGTGTGTAGCGAGCTCGCTGGATTATACACGTGTCGATGAAGATTTTATGAGGCCAAACGCGCGTGCGCTAGCTGCGGTACGATGGGTGCGCGATGGTTGCGATGGTTGCCCCGTCGGGGCTTTCCCAGCCGCAGCAGCAGCAGTTGCTATGCATATTTTTTTCCGGTCTCGAAAATGAAAAAATGTTTTATTTTTGTTGAACTCACTGCCACTTTTCCTCGTTGAGTTAGTTGAGTCCGGTGCCCCCGCGTCGTCGTCAGCTGATCGGTCGCTCGGCCCGCAACATGTGGAGTGGACGCTATCGCGGCCGCACGACTAATCATCTATTCGGTGCGTGTTTGGGGCCGCGTGCGCCCGCGGGGGCCGCCGTGGGGGCTCCCGGGTAGTGGGGGGGGGGGCGCTGACCGCCCTTCCGTGCCCCTTTTTGCACCCCCTACCATGTCCTTTCCGGCGGCGATAAGGCCACGCGGGACCCCACGAGAGAGAGAGAGAGAGAGAGAGAGAGAGCGCGAGCGCGAGCGAGAGAGCGCTCTATGGAGAGGAGGGTGGGAGGGAGGTGGGAGTGGAGGACCTAATTACCCGGTAGAGCGAGGGG